GATAATAATAATAATAATAACAATAATAATAATAATAACAGTAATAATAATAATAATAATAATAATAACAATAATAATAATAATAATAATAATAATAATAATAATAATAATAATAATAATAATAATAATAATAATAATAACATAGTATTTGATAGTAGTAATAATAGTATTGGTTCCTGGAATGGTATTTTAGTATTGCAACTTATTAGAAATCAATATGCTGTTCCGGAATTCCATTTTAGATCTTGCTATCGTCATTTCTTTATTCTTTAATTATTAACATTTCTATTCGAAATTTATTCATTCAAATAATTTTATGATATGCAGAAATATTAAAGAGAAGTAGGAAATGGTAATACTATTATGGAAAATTAAGCCCTTCAGATATCTCTTCAATTACTACTACTACTACTACTACAACTTCTACTATACTACTATTACTGATACCACTACTACTATTATTTCTATTACTACTACTACTACTATTATTAGTACTACTACTACTACTACTGCAATTTATCCAGTCTATATCTATATCTGAAGTATTCTATGAGTAGAAGGATATGTGATGATTGATTCGTTGAGAATTTTTAAATTTGAAGTATTTTGAAGATGATGACCATCTATGGAATATAATGAGAAACTAAAAACTACGAACATAAAAGTGTATGGTTAATCTAATATATAAGCAAAATTCGGAATATTTCAACAATTCTTTATCTGGTCATTTGTTTGGTCATTTTGATTCTAATTGCAATGTATGTGAAGCAAATAGTTTTTTTCTGAATAATTGATTTTTTTTTTTTAAAGTGAGAAATCATTAATTAGCAATGATACAAGAAAATGATGAAATGGGACAAATCATACGGGTCGGTGAACTATTACCGGGTGTGATAGGTAGGGTTAATTGGGATGCCATGTGAAGTTAGTTGTCGTATTGTATCACCAAAGGTGCTTAACCATTTATGTCATTTGTACGTTCTTGCCGGTTTTTTTTTTTACTTTTTCGGCTTTTACCTTTCTATCAATAATATATCGTAAATGGTTTGTACAATTGATTGTTGTACTTGAGCAAATTGTCTAATTTGTTTTAATTATTTACTCTTAATTAAAATAGATGACAATTACATTTATTGGTCTTACTTTTAAAGACTAATTAAGATCAGGTACGTCTTTCTTTTTTTTCAGGGAATTATTCATCTATATCATTAACCACTATTATTTTCAATAGTATTAGCTATCCAACAATGTTATCTTTTTATCAGCAAAAAAAAATTATCAAAAAATTATCAGTAGCTTATCAGTTTAATAATAGTATAAAGTGAAGAAATAATAATATAATAAAATTAATGTAATAGTACTTGTTATAACACAAATATCCATTACTGATTTTCTCATTGGCCATATCACATCATCGTATTACCGTCTGCATCATCATCATCATCATCATCATAATCATCATCATCGTCGTAGTCGTTGTCATCGTCGTCGTCGTCATCATCGTTATCTGTTGGTTGCAATCACTGTAATACGATACAGCTGTTGATAGTAAGCAAACCAACTGGTACACTTATTAATCATACATTTATGCAAAATAATTTTAATCCAACATTAAATAAACCCATATGATTTATTTTGTATTAGAAGCGCTGTGGTCTTTAAATATTCCCAATTGCGCCACAAGTTGCAGATAGTCTTATTGCGCCTGTTAATATAAGATATGTTGTCATCTTTGCAACGATATCATTAATTATGCTTTTCAGTTCATTCATCATCACATTTCCATTTATTATTCTTTCTTTCTTTTTTTTTTCGCAAAGAAGAAGTTTTTGTCTTGTCCGCTACTTCAATCCATTTTTCTCATATCGGCATTACTCTAATATCTCTAACTTTATTTCATTTTAATTTCACTTCATTCCATTTCATTTCATTTAATTCCATTTCAATCCATTTCATTTCAGAATTACAGTGCCGTATTTGCAATGTCCCATTATTTCATTTTACAATGGTCATCGAATTCATTATCATACTTTTACATTTTATTAATGTCTTTTTTTCTTTCTTCAATAATGCAAACTTATCATAATTATCATTCAGTCCTCTTTTCTTAGTTATTAAATTTATGGGTCATTTAATTTTTTCATTTTCTCTTCAAATCCTTTACTTTTACTATACTCTTCTTCGCTCTATTCTTTCTTTTTCAATTCCATTTTTATTCTCCAAAAAAAAAACCAAAATAAAATTGAAAAAATTACTGCAACTTGCACAAATTATTGTCACCATAATAGTGCGCTTTAACAATTGTTTGTTTTATTTTGTTTATTTATACTAATGAACTCTTTTGCATATTTCCTTGAATCGATAAAAAAGCGCAATAAATAAAAGAACTTATTCATCGTCTAATAAATTGAATACATCATGAAGCTTTTATTTGTAAATAATTGAATGGTTTGATAACCTAATGATAAGCCTCTTTGTCATTAATATTAGGTAATCATTTGCAATACCTGATACTGTTCATTTTTGTTTAATGTAAAAGCGCATTTGCATAAATGACCTCTTTTTTTTTTGTTTTGCGATATATTTTACGAAATTATTTTGGTTTTTACTGTACAACGTGATATTTAATAATTTTCGTGTTAAATCTTCTTCAATTTACAGTAATTTTTATTAATGGAACTCGTTTTTTTTGAAAATTTCTTGAATTTCAACAGATTTTTGTTTTTTTTGTACAAATGTTCACTATTAACATTCCTTGTCAACTTATATGACTTTTTTATTTTCACCCGAAAAGTAAGGAGTTTTTAAAGTGGAAAAGACAAGTGGATTGTAATGGGAAGGGAAAAATGATTGTGATAGTGAAAGAATTAGTTTAGAATATTTTTATTTTGTTAAATTTGAAAAGTTACTAATTATCCTGTCCAATTTTTTGTTGAAATTTGTTTGAAACTAACAATTATTTAGAAAATATGAAAAGTATAAATGAAGTGAATTCAGAGCAAAAAAAAAAAAAATAGAAAACGAAATAATGAGAGAAAATTTAAAGGAAGAGAAGATTCTAATTGTTGATACTTTTTTTTCATCTTCAGTTATCACCTCTTGATATGCATTATTTACATGCTTAAATTTATTTCAGTTTTTTTTCTATTTTCAATTTCAACTTTATTTTCAACTCTGTTTTAATTTTTTCTTTTTTTAATTTCAACTTTTTTTTGTTCCAATTCCTTTTATTTCAGTTCCTTTTTATTTGTTTTAATTCATTTTTATTTATTTCAATCCTTTTGTTTTGAACTATTTCATTTGAAAATTTTCCTCTTTTTTTTAAACGAAATACCTTTTAATAATTAAATCTTTGAAGTTTTTCTTTTTAAATTAAAATCATAAATTCAGATTTAGTGCATAGTCTTCAAAGAGTTTATCTCTCTCTTACTACAATAATCCATTCAAAATAAACTCTCCCTTCTTTCTCTCTCCTTCTAAAAGGAAAAAAAAATGTTTTTACTCTCTTAATATATTGAATTTTTTTTCTGCCTTTCTCTTTTTCAATGTTTTTTTTTTTCCTTTCCTCCATTTGAGATATGAAGAAAATTTCATCATACATTGTAAAAAAAATCAAATATTTCATATGGAAAAAGCCTTCTTCTATATCATTCCTTGTCATCAATGAGAATTATCTGATAATATGCGTCAATTCCCAAATGCGCTCACAGATATGATTCCGCCTCAATTCAACTACTCCTTCACTTTTTTTCGTCCCAAATTTCAAATATACACAGCAATCGTCAATTTATTCATCGTATAAAAAAAGAAAATTTTTATCACTAGAAATCATTTTATTAAATTTTTTTTCACCTTAAATTACCCTAAATTCTTGTCACCAAAAATCATTTTATTAAATTTTGGAAAAATTAAAAAAAAAAACGAAATAAATCTTACTACTAAAGGACAGCTTTCGGAAGATTAAATTTCATCAAATTTTAAATTGTCTAAACTTTATGATTATTTTAATAAGCTTTGATAATCATATCAGTTTGCTTTCTTATAACAAATAGTATAAAATTTTGTCAATAAGAAAATCCCTTCTGAATTACCTAAACGTTAGGATTATTCGTGATTTAAGGTTTTTTTTTTTTTTTTTTTAATTCACTTGATAAGCTTTAATGCTTTCTTATTTATTCCTTACAATAGGTAGTACAAGAATTTTATTACTCTAAACTTTAGCATTATTTTGATAAGCTCTGATAAGCATATCAATTTGCTTTCTTATTTTTTTCTTATAACAAATAACACAGAAATTTACGAATAAGGGAAACTCGTTTTGAATTATCTGAGCTTTAAAATTATTTTGATAAGCTCTGATAAGCATATCACTTTGCTTTTTTATTCTCACATTGCATTGAAATGTTCGATTCAACTTTTTTCTTTTTTTTAATGATAAATTTCCCACAAATAGCAACTTTTCTGAGCAAAAAACCCTCCAAGAATTCTAACCAATTAATTATATACTTTGAAGTGCTATTTCTTTTTTTTTAAAAAAAAGAAATATTTTTTCAGTTGATTGAAAAAAAAAAAATTCTTCAATACTTCTAATATTTCGAATTTTCGTTGGATACATATTATTTTTTTTTTAAATCTAAAATATTTTTGTTGCTAACATATTAATTAACAAATTAATTTCCATATGTTTTATTCATAAATTTGCGAATTCCAACTTAATGTTTTTTTTCCTTCTTTCCCATTATAAAATATCTTATTACAGCGATGAGGAGGGGATGATCAAGTTTGGTTCGGGTAGCTATAGTGTTCGAGAATCGGAAGGATTAAATCCGCAAAGTTTAACATTTCCGGTTCGTACAATTTCCTGCACCGTCACATTTCTGGATAATACTGAGCGAAAATTCGAAATTGAAGTTTGCTTTGTTTTTTCTTTTTTTTTTCATATAACTTACTGCTGAATTAAATCCTTCGAAAGAAGAAAATCTATAGCAATTTTCATTTGAATCAAATTACGGCGAATAAAATGGAGTGACACTTTTAGTGACATTGTTTGACTTTACTTTTGAGACAGATTAAATGCTAAATCTTGTGTACAGGCGCAGTTTGTTATGCTATCGAAAAACTTATAATTCATTTGCTAAACTTTCGCATTTTTTTTGCTAAATCAATAGTAATGGAAAATTTTAATAGCAAAAATTGCAATAAAAAGCTTATTTCTTGAGGAAAAGAAAGAAAATCAAGGAATCAAATTTCAAATTTCATTTTTGAATAATTTATGATGCCTGAAAATAAATAAATGCATTTCCGTTTATAATTCAATTAAACTACCCTATTTGTTCAAAATAAATTGAAAATTTGTTATTAACGCTACAAACATTGATGGGCGGGTCATTAACGTTGATGGTCATCCTTTGCCTTGAGTATTTCGAATTGAAAGTGTTGAAAAATGTAATACAAAAATGTCAATCAGTCATCCACAACCTTTCTGATTATCATCCAAAACTTTCTGATCAACTGTCAAAGCTGTCCTAAAAATAGATATATTACTTACTATATCAGTGATAAAAATAGAAGGAAAAATCAATCAGAATATTCAAATAATAAATAAAGGATAATTTGGCGACAAACAGTAAATATATAAGCGGAAATAATTTAATGAATGGTGACACTCAGATTAAATAAGTATTTTAGGAATTGTCTTTAATTGTTAATCATATTACTGATAATTAATTACAGCGTCATGCTAAGGGACAAATTTTACTCAACATGGTATTTGATCATCTTGAATTGGTCGAGAAAGATTATTTCGGATTGCAATACATATCTGCCCTTGAAACAAGCCAAACCGGTGTTAAGGTTTTTGGAGTTTTAACAACTTTTTGTATTAAAGCTGAAAAGTTATTCGAAATCCTAAGGGAGGGCAAAAAGTTGTTAAAATTAATAATTAATCATTTAAATGATCCATATTTACCTTCAAATTATCATATTTTAATTCCACATTTCCAACATATAATTCCAACTTTGGAATTAATTTTACCATTTCAGAAATGGCTTGATCCCACGAAATCCATTAGGAAACAATTATTTTGTAAGTTTTTTTTTTTTGATAATTTCAATTTAGCAAACAAAAATGATACATACGATCAATTCTATAAATGTCCCCATCACCTGTCAACTTTTTGATTAGGTTTTTTTTTTGATCACTTTGCAAGAAAATATGCCATTGTTTAAAGCTGATCTATTAGCATTGTTATAGTAGAGAAAAAAATATTCGAATTTTAATCATTTCTATTTTTCATTTTTCAGATCCACCTTATCAATTGTATTTTCGTCTCAAATTTTATGTTAGTGATCCATCAAAGTTAATGGAAGAATACACAAGGTTTTATTTATATCTTAGTATAATTTAAGGTAAATATGAAATAAATCATTTTTAATGCAATTTTTGCCAAAATTTATTTTTTAATTAACCAAATTTAGTTTTTGATCTTTATTGTTTTAATGCTAATTTTCATTTTCTTTGAATTATATTTGTTATGAATGAATGATTTCTTCGATAACTTCCATTTTTTTTTCTTGATGCCAAGAATATATTTGTTTTTTCTTTTTTTTTTTTACAGGTATCATGTATTTCTTCAACTTAGAAAAGATTTACTAGAGGGTCGATTAATTTGTCCAGAAAATACTGTCGCAATGCTTGCCAGCTATGCTGCTCAATGTATAATTTTATATTAATTCAAATCAAATTTACAAATTATCATTGATAAACAAATTCTTTCTAATCATATTTTCAATTTAAATTTAGCTAGGCTATTATATTTTAATAAATTTAAAAAACATTTCTTATATTATTTAAATTAACTTAAAATTTCCTATCTGACAAGTGTAACTAAGTGAAATTTAATTTTTAGCAGAATTTGGTGATTACAGTGAGGAAGAGCATGGTACAACATATCTTAATGAATTTCAATTTATTCCTGAACAAAGTACTGCTCTAATTAAGGACATAATTGATTTACATAAACTTCATAAAGGGCAAAGTCCAGCTGAAGCTGAATTCAATTTTTTAAAATATGCTAAAGATCTTGATCTATATGGTATTGATCTCTATCCAGCTAAGGTTAATTCATCATTTTAATAATTTATTAAATTTTTTTCTTTTTAGTTACTCTAAAATTCAATAATATATATATCTTCCATTCGTATATTTCTATTGTTCATTTATCCTATATATAAGTTAAATCGAAATCATTGGATAAATTAACGATCAAATGACAACTATTTTTGAATAGTTAAATGCTTTTTTCTTTGTTTTATTAAATTTAAATAAATAAAATTTATTGTATAGGAGAGTAATGGTTCAATGATTGAAATTGGTGTAAGCAATTGTGGTGTCGTACTCGTCCGATGTAATCGTCGTGAAACAATCTATCCATGGTCGGCTATTATGAAATTATCATTTAAGAAGAAACTATTTAGTATACATATGCGTGTCATCAAAAATGATAATGTAAGTGTAAAATTTGTAAATTTAAGTAGAAATAAGAGATAAGAGGAGGAAGGAAATTTTGAAAAGTATCTTGGAGAGAAAGAGAGTGAGAGAGGAAGAAAGAAAGAAAGGAAGAGAAGAAATGAAGATAATTAAAAAATATTATTGAAAATCAATTTTTACACGAGTAAAAATATAAGTTAGGAAGAAATTTGAGAATTTACAAAGTAAAAATTAATGATAATAGAATAATTTCTAAGATATAATATTAAATATATATATATAATAATTGCTAAGAAAAAATATTATAATTAAAATAGTAATTAATAATTGAAAAGCAAATAACAATTAATAATTAAAAATGAATAATAGATAGAAGAAGATACGGTGGTTATTTTCAATATTCAAAATCCGGAAAGTTGTAAAGCACTATGGAAGAGTTGTATTGAACATCATACATTCTTTCGTCTTATTGCTCCACCAGTACCACCACCAAAGTCATTTTTTAGCATTGGAAGTCGATTTCGTTATAGGTTAGTTAATTAGTTAATTTTGCTATACTATTCGTTTTATTTTACTTCAAAATTTTTCCTTTAATTAGGTTAATTTAAAAAATTATTATGAAATAATAATAACAATTAAATTGCATTTTGTATTATTATAAATGATTTCGAACCTTTAACACCTGATAATTTTATAAGACATTTTATGTCTCAATTTTTTTTTCTTCTATACTAGTTCTCCTGAGTAGATTAACCTGAATGATTTTTTCTTCAATACCATATTTTCATTAAATATTTGTACTATATAGAAAAGAAAGAGTAGACTGGTTAATTGTTTATTGAATAGTAGTAACCATAGGATGAGTTTGTACAGGTGTGCCTGTCACATTGATGCATTTATTCATCTGTCTCCATCTTGTTTGTTCAAAGATCATTTAGTATGGTAATAGAAGTGAAATTTCATCACTTTTATATCATCATCATTTCCAAGTATATATATATATATATGTATAGTTAACCAGAAAAGATTTTGTCATCCTTATATTTATGTAAATAATTCGTGATCAATTTTCCGGATCATACAAAACTCAACATCACTTTTCACTTATCAATATATTTATATATATTTATGCTTCCTTCACCTTTCCCTCTCTCTCCCTCCCTCCTCTCTCTCCCTCTCTCTCTGTCTCTTTCTCTCTCTTGTTCTTTTTTCATTTATTTAAATTTTAATATTTGATTTAATTGGAAAATTTTATCTTTATTTTCTTTCCTTTTTTTTTCTCTCGACTTCTTAATAATTTCTCTCACATAAATAATTTAGTTTAAAATATTTTAAGCTTCTTTTATCGCACTTTCAACTTTTTTTCTTCCTTCATTTTCAAATTTTGCATTAAATTATTTTATTGATAAAACAAAAATAAAAAATCCTTATCATTCTGATAAGTGTTTTTCTATTTGTTAAATGACGTAAATTCTCGTAAAAATTTCGCTTAAATTCTCTAGTTATTAATATCACACCAGTTAATTAAGCATAGAAATGAGTAAATATATTTAAATAATTTAGTTTAAAATATTTTAAGCTTCTTTTATCATACTTTCAACTTTTTCTTCCTTCATTTTCAAATTTCATTAAATTGGTGCTTCATTTTAAATAAGTAATTTTGCTACTTCATTTTAAATGAACAATTTGTGCTACTTCATTTTAGAAATAAATAGATTCATTTTAAATGAGCAATTTTTCTTTTTATATATATATATTTTTCCTTCCAAATGACCATTTATATTTTTATTTAATCTACGACGATGTTGAAATTATGAAAGCACTATAAATCAGCTTAAATTAGCTTCTTAATTATAAATTAACTTTTAGATTATATATAATAAATTGAGTTCTTATAGCTTACAAGTGTTATTACTTAATTAATGTTATCATACGTTATCATTTTAGCTCTAATCTCTAATCATTTCCACACGTTATTTAATTTAAAAAAGAAAAAAATCTTTTTTCTTTTACAATTTATGCTTTCTATTTTATTATCAGCAAGTTATCACAAAAGCAAATTTAAAAAGAACAAAATTGATAAAATTATGATTAGCAAATCCATTTTGCTCAAGCGGAATGATTGGTATTAATCAAAAGATATGATATCTATCCTTTAACATAATCCATACATACTTATCACTTATCATTTATTTCAATTAATAGGAAAAGGATGCCTTATCATTAGTGTCTATATGAAAATATATTCTGTTTTAGTTCATTTAAGATTGATTATTGCTTTCTTTTTTTCTCTCTTTAACAAAAGAAGAAGAAGAAATTGATATTTAGTAAGAGAAAAGAAATCTATCGAAAGAATAAATTGAAAGGATGAATTTGTCAATGAGGAGATGGTAATGTTTGCTATTTAAATAAAAAAACCTTTCCTATAAGCTCTATCATCAATAGTGCGCAAATGTGCTATTAACTTTCTTTCAAAGCTTACTTTGCTATTATCACATTTTAACATTTGCTATTTTTTTCCAAAAAAAAAAATCGGCAATTTTTGGTGATTAAATTTCAAAATTTCACAACATTATAATATTAAATCATCAGAGCAATATTCAATACATCTTAATTTTTAATCAAATAAATTAGCTTAAAAAAATTTTAACTTAATTTTCACCAATCTCATCCTAATCATCATATCATCATGTTTTATCATTGCTTCTCAAAATGATTCATATTCTTTCTTTCAAATTTTTATCTTTAAATTTCATTTCTTTTTTATTACTCAGCTATATTGGTTCTTTTTACTAAAAAAAAAAGAAAAAAAACACAATCAATTGCCTTTAAAATACTTTTTTTTTTCATTTTGCTATACCAAATCTTTAACTGAAAAAAATTCAATGCCCCAAACCAAATGCCTAAATTAAATGATTAAATTACAATAATTTCTCAAGAGATCATATGTTTTTATTGTTTTTTGAAAAATTTTTCCTTCATGTTTTAATGGATAATTTTGACTAATTATTGTAATTTAATATCCAACAAGAGACAATCTCTTGAGAAAATTTTATTTTTTTGATCATTTAATTTAAAAGTGAGATTATATCCTTTAAATCATCTTACTTCAAAATTCATCTATGTAGCCGGACTACTACATCTAATTACGATGACTGTCATTTTCCTTGTCGCATTAATTGTCATTTTATAAATATCATTACAAAAAATAAAAAAATACCCATATAGATTTCAATTTTACTAATGTTTTTATTGTTTTTTGAAAAATTTTTCCTTCATGTTTTAATGGATAATTTTGACTAATTATTGTAATTTAATATCCAATAGATATTAATTTTTTAAAAATTTTTTGAAGAAAATGTCATTTTTACGACATTTTAGTTCAGTTGAATTTTTCGATTTCTTCGACAGATTGGTTATTTATTTCCATTATTACTGTTATTATTGTTATTTATTACTTATTATTATTATTATTATTATTATTATTATTATTATTATTATTATTATTATTATTATTATTATTATTATTATTATTATTATTATTATTATTATTATTATTATTATTATTATTATTATTATTATTATTATTATTATTATTATTATTATTATTATTATTATTATTATTATTATTATTATTATTATTATTATTATTATTATTATTATTATTATTATTATTATTATTATTATTATTACTTA